GCTACCAGATGGCAACGCGTGCTCATGCGTGGACACGATCTCAGTGTCAGGACGTCTGCACCGCTGAACATTCGCTGTGTGAGACAAGTGAACTCGCAGACTCCATTGCCAGCATACCTATTCGCTCCAAGACCGAGTCGGGGTGTTTCTCTTTGGGCATGAGCTGCCTGGGTATTTGCCCAAGCTCTTACAAGCAAGCAGCTTCTGGAGAGGCGATGTCAATGACTCAATGACCTTCCTGAACCGCACAGGAGAACTTTTCCGGAACTCTGCGACAAAGATGAGTGAGAAAACAGTACGAAACCGATGAGACCGCCATTCTGTATCCATAAGGTACACAGTGTCAGCCCATGCGTCTTCCAACTGTGCCCCGCAGGTTTTGATTTTGGGGAGCCTTTAAATTTAGATGCCTGGACAAGCTGGGCCACAGCAAGACATGAGCTCTTCATCCCAATTCATACGCCCACATTGCTGCCAAAAGAAAAAGAACCGGTTGAAGAACCACATGGAACATCAAGGAACCACATGGCTCAAAAATCGTGCACCTACCCATCCTCAGCAGCATCTATCCTCATAGTCATAGAACGCAGTTTTTTTGCATGGTCCAAACACGATGTGTCTTCATCTCAAGAGGGGCCACTTCTCATCTCCTCCCTCTCCTCCCTCCACCCGGCCCGGCCTGGGCCCGGTAGGTTCCCGAGCTCAAGCGGCAACTGGCTGAGGTGGAGGAGTGGCCGAAACTCGTGGGAGTGGTGTGGTCGCGAGTACTGGTCGAGGGATCTTCGGAAGATCCAAGAGCACCCTACAGAGGTTTTGGGTTCTTGAATTTCAAGCATCCCACGGTCTTTTCGGAACCACCGACTCACCGACCAGATAAACACGGAAGCGAAGAAAAACGATCCAAAGCAGATCCCTTGTTAGTGACAGGTTTCGATGATCCAGGTTTTTCAGGCCCATAGGGATTCAACTTCGGTCATCGGTCGAGGTCGCGGACCGAACCCCGCCGGCCTCCCTCCGTGACATTTCTTTACTCGGGGACCTCGCCGGTGGTACTAAGTCGGGCGTCGCTGTCATCGCGCTGCGCGATGAAATGCAGGGCGACGTCGCAGGGCTGAGAGACGGCACAGTGCCTGGTGTATGAGGGCGCCTCAACAGCGCCGCGTGCGTCTCGCGCGCGTGTCTCGAAGAGGCGAACCATCGCGCCTTGAAGATCCAGCACGAGTGCGACGCCGCGAAGCTCGAAGAGGCGCAGGCTGCCTGCGGTCGTCACGACCGGCCCTGCCGTGGTCGTCGTTTCAGACTCCGCCATGAAATACATTCGGCTTGGATCTATCCGGATATACCCCATATCAATGTTTGAATTTGGGATGATTTGGGATGATTCCATCGATCTTGCATGCGTTTGATTGTTGGCTTCCTCAATCAAGGTTTTGATGGATCCTAATTCGGGGTGAAAGGGTTTAACCACCAAGACGTCCCTCAAGACTCGTGGCTCAACAGCTTGCCAGAATAGTCTTTGCGATTTGAGCCAGGAGTGAGTTCTGAGGGGGCAAAAACATACCAATATAATCCAATATATATATATTATATATATACCCTGGGAGTCAAAGACTATAAAAAGAATGTTTTTTAGGTGACCCGAAAAGGAATATGCTTTACTTCAGTGGGGCAAAATATAGTCTTTGGACTTCTAGGGTATATTTATTAGATATTATTAATTTAACTTTTTTTGGGTTGTCCCGATTGTTCCTTTCATCAGAAATAGTTGCGACTGAGGCAACAAATGCTCGGGATACACTAATAGACTAATGCACATTTGATTTACCTTTTGCGTGGGGAGGGAGCACTACGGAAAGCTATCGGAGAGGCGGTTTCGTCAAGATGAGATTGAAGGTTCTTTGTTCGAGAGCACTCAAGTCAAGAACCTGGACCTTAACCATAGCTTGACTGTGGAACAGACATCACGCTGAAGCCTGGTCAACAGACTCCAATTACACGCAGCGGCAAACAGCACACAGTCGCGTCGGTGGGTTCAAGTGCTGGGCTCACCGAATGGTTCAACGCACTTGTCCGATCTTTCCCCGAAGCTTAGGGGTCTTCGGTCGTACAAAGACTTCGCAACAGATCGGCGCAGCTTTTTTGTGTTTCTTGGATGTCCCAGATCTCAGTCTCAGGAGGCGTGGAAAGCCACAGCAGCTGAACATCAGAGCGAAGTGGATGTGCTCCGAGCAGAAGCTTCCCAGGCATTCTGAGAAGTTCAGAACCACTAGGAGCAAGGACGCTACTAGGGGCAAAGGGCATCGCAACTAGGAGCGTTGATGCTATTAGTAATTATTAGTAGCTATTTGCTCCTAGTAGCATGGCCAGGAGCCCCTTCGTCTTTACTTTGAACTATTATCCTCACAGGTTCCTGAATTGAAGAGGAAGCTGCAACAACTCCAGGAGATGGGAGATCGGAGTCACCCAAAGTGGTCTGTTTTGGAGCCAACAAGTGTGTGTTTAGAGCCAGTCACACTTAAGTTTGGCCACTTTGCAGAAGGACAAGTGCTTTTGTTTCTGTTTTTGGAAAGGAGGAACATCAGCGCGAAGCTGAAATCCTCCGAGCAGAGGCCTCCCAGGCCAATCATTGTTGTTTTGGCGAATGTTGCGAGCAGCAAGCAGGTTCCAGAGCTCAAGAAGAAGATTGAACAAATCCAGGAGAAAGAAACAGTTCTGGTGTGGAAACATGTTGATCCTCGCTGTAGGCAAGCTGCAAAGCATTGTGTTTAGTTGGTGCCCTGCCATGTCGTGAGTTGGAGGAGGAACACGAGCGCGAAGCCGAAGTCCTCCGGGCAGAGGCTTCCCAGGCAGGCAGTTGACGCCCTTCTAACATTCTTGAGAAAAAGACTATGTTATCTAATACATAGCTATAGTTTAAATCCGCATGAAACACCAAACAGCACTGGTGGTTTGTTCGAAATACATCGATTGATGCATACTGGGGCAGCAGACTTTGGAGTGTGGAAGTGTAAGGCAAGGTCTTGTCTGCATAGGTTCCCGAGTTGAAGAATCAGTTGGAACGAATCCAGGAGATGGCGCCATTGTGCTTGCTTGTCAACCAAATTGCAAACAGCTAGGTGTGTTTGACACCAGCCATGTATGGTTTGCATTTGGGAAGGAGGAACACCAGCGCGAAGCTGAAATC